GAACATGGGCGTGCCATTGTGTGCCTATAAATATCCCAATATGGGAAAATGTATTGTTTCTTTAAACCCGAACTATCTGAATTCCAATATTGTCTCTCCATATTCTCTAACACTGAACACTAATTCTCACGCCGGAGGTACAATGGGGGAGAGAGCTCCGACCTCATTTTGCAGGTGGTGAAGTCACATCCGGGAGAACACCTCACTATTATTTCAGACGCCAATTTGTTGATCACAAATTTATGATCATCAAATTCCTCGCCTAACCTAGGATTTCTCCTTCTAAGCTCTCTATACCTGATGCTCATTAAGGAGCAAGAGGGAAAAATGATGTTTAGAGAGAGAGATATTCAAATTTACATCCATTTTTACATTTAGACGACACTATTTATAGATTTCTTTTGGAGTTTTGGAGTAAATTGGGTCTTTTCGGTTAGTGACAAGTAGCAATCATTCAATGGCAGATTTCTAACTAATTTTGTTATGTGTTCACGTTTTATTCACTGGTTTATGTGTTTTTTATTTATTGGTTTTAAGTAATCTTTGAGTCCTTTTTCACGTGTGCCTTGCTAATGATTTCTAATGACACAGAACTTTATGGAAACAGTTCGCCAATTTGGTTGTAAACTTTTATGCCATGAAAGCTCGCTTTTCTTACATACCTATTATTCTCAATTAGGTTAGCATGAGTTTGCGTAAGAAGAAAATTGGTGCTCAATTTCTCTTTGTTTCTATGTTGTTTCCTAGGATATATACAATAAAAGAAACCTTATCACTAACTGTAAGGGGACAAATCCATTTTAAGATAATGTGTATTACATAGGCCTCGACTTTCTAATTTCTTCCTTGCAGTGATTCAAATTTTCTTTTCCCTTAGTTTTTAATTTTCTATTTTGTTCTTTAATATATGTCTGTATTATACATTTTAAATAATAATCTTAAAACTGGCCCAATTGAAGAACAAATATATTATATTTTTAATCTTCGTTAAGGAACTAACATTTGTTTGGTGTTTCAGAAATGACTACTGGATAAACTCATATGTATATGGATACTGAAAAAACTAGACTGTGGCTAATTACCAAGTTATGCTGTCATCCAGACTTTAGCTCAAATGCCAAGTCATGATGTTTCCTAAATAATAGCTTAAACCAACAAAAGATGCTGTTTTATTTAATCACTTTAAATCTCTCTAAGTTCTTGACTGAAGATGCTCCAAAATTCAAACAGGGTAAGGGAGATATTCAAGTTATCAACGCAATTGATGTTTGAAAACATTCTAATTTCCTGTGTCATAACTATATTATGAAAGGGGTTCACTATATAAAGTGTATGGTATAATGAAGATAGCTAAAGATTTGTGGAAATCTTTAAACAAAAATATAAAATCGATGATGCCAAAACTAAAAAAAAAATATTGTTGATCACTTCCCAGATTATAAAAGGATGTATTCCAGTACCGTGATCAATCAAGTACAAGAATATAAAGTGACTTTACATGATATTCATGTCGTGGGGATGATTTTAAGTGAAACTTTCCTAATTGTGGCTATTATTGAGAAGCTACCTCCAACTTGGAAGGATATTAAAAATTAGCATAATCACAAGAGAAATGAAATGAATATCGAATAATTAACTGTTAGATTTCAAACAGAAGAAGACAACAGAAGTTTTGAAAAGGAGTTCAATCCAATTGTTTCTAAAGGAAATATTGTGGAGCGTGGTTAAATTTTTAAGACTTACAAGAACAAGTCTAGATTGTCTGGTGGCAAAAGGTCCAAGCTGAGATTGGAAGGTGGTGTTCAAGGAAAATGTTTCAATTATCACAAAGTAGGTCATAAATCTTTGGAGTGCAAATTGCCAACAAATAAAAATCAGTATGAGGCAAATGTAGTTGATTACATGGCACACGATGTGCGGAAATGAGCTATATATGTAGTTTTTGAAGTGAATTTTGTATGTTCAAACCCAAAAAAGTAGTCGATTGACATTGGTGGTACGGTACATGTTTTCTCTGATAAAGAGTTGTTCACTTTGTTTGAAGCAACCTAAAATGGGGAGAAGTTTTTAATGAAAGATTCAATGACATCTGAAATCAAAGGTCAAGGCAAGGTGAATCTTAAGATGATTTTTAAGAAAGAGCCGAGTCTTAAAAATGTTTTATGTGCCGAAAATTTACAAGAACCTAATGCTCAGGTCGCTTCTTTGAGTCACACAAAGTAATTTTAGGTTGCTTCTTTGAGTAACACAAAGTAATTTTGTCTAACATTGAAATATTTGTTAGCAAGAGTTATTTATCCATGGGATATTTAAGCTCGATGTAATGGTTGCTAAGCTGAAAAAGAATAAAGCTAATTCTTCTGCTAAATGCTTGAGTCTTCCAATTGTTGGCATGATAGACTATGATACGTTAATTATGATACTTTGTGTAGATTAATTAACTTGAATTGCATGTGCACATTCCATATTGATTATAAATATAAGTGCGAGACTTGAATTAAAAAAAAAATTGATGAGGTCACCATTTCAATCTATTTGAAGAAATGCAAAACCACGTGATTTAATTCACTATGACGTATGTGATTGAAAATCTATACAAGTAAGAGATTCCAACAAGTATTTAATTACTTGTGTCGATGATAGCAAAAGATATTGTCATATGAATCTACTTAAAAGTAAGGATGGAGCTTTAGAGAAATTGTCTCTTTAAAAGAATGAAGTTGAAAATCAATTTAATAAGAAAATTAAGGCATTGAGGAGTGATGAAGATGGTGAGTACGAAGCACTATTTGGTGAATTCCATGTAAAATATGGAATTAAACATGAAACCATAGTACCATATTTACCTTAGCAAAATCAAGTTGCAGAACGAAAAAATTGTACTTTAAAGGAAACGATAAATACAATACTAGTAAGTTCTCGATTACCTTAGAATATGTGAGGAGAAAGTTGTGTCGTCAATAAATTTCGTTTTAAATAAGGTGTTCCAAAAGGAGAAAAAAAAGAAGAACAAGAAGAAGAAGACCCTTAGCCTTCCTATAAATACTTACGAGTGTGGAGTTTTTTTGCTAAAGTGTCCGTACCTACATAAAAGAAGATAAAAATAGGCATGAAAACTATAAATTGCATCTTCATTGGCTATACGCATAATATTAGTGCTTAACATTTTCTTGTGTATTAGTCTAAGATTTTAGACATATACAAAAATAAGATAATGGAATGAGAAATGCTTTATTATTTGAATATGTATTACCGTATAGATCCAAATAGGAATCAAATTCCTAAATGGACACATGAAACTATAGTTGATAATAGCAAGGAGCAAGGACTAGAAAAGAAAATTGAGGTTGACCCAAGAGGTAGAAAAGAGCAATGACAAAAGATTCTTTTGGTCATAATTTTTTGACTTGTATGCTAAAAAGTGAATCTCGAAACTTCTAGGAAGCCGTGAACTCTTCCAATGAACGTTAGTGGAAAGGGGCCATTAAAAGTCAAATAAATTCCATTTTACAAAGCCATAAATGAAAACCGGTGGATATTCCTTTGGGATGTAAACTATTAGATTACAACTGGATTTTTAAGAGGAAAATGAAAGCAAATGGAAGAATCAAGAAGTACAAGGCTAGATAGTGATAAAAGGTTATAAACAACGGAAATCATTGATCATTTTCCAATAATAAGAATAATATTTGTTAGGTGATGCTTACAATTGCAGCTATATGAAATCGTGCATGGCAGATAGATGTTAAAATTGTCTTTTTGAATGGAGATTTAAATGAAAAATGTACATGAAATAAATTGAGGGTTCTATAAATTGGTAAAATCATTTTATGACTTGAAACAAGCATCAAAATAGTGACATGAAAAGTTTAAAATATCATGATGAACTGTAGATATAAAAACAAGTGTGATAAAAGCATTTATTTTAAAGACGGAGAATGACTATGTCATCTTATGTTTTTACGTTAACGACATACTTACTGATAGTAGCAATGATAAGATGTTTAAATCTATTAAAGATATGTTGAATTCTAGATTTGACATTAAAAATATGAGTTTAGCTTGATATGATACTTGGAATTAAAATTCAAGAAAATTAGATGAACTCATTATAAGTTGATCACATTTTGTTGACAAGATTCTTGAAAAAATTAACAAAGTTGATTCTTGCATGGCTAACACTGATAGATACAAGTCATCATCTAATAAATAATAAATTTGAGAGTGTTTATCAAGTAGAGTACTCTAATTATTAGAAGTTTGATGTACTTAATGAGTTGGTTTTGTTGTTGAACTCAACCTAACCATTGGCTTGGATGGTGTGGAGTGAAAAAGTACTTAATACCGAGCTCTTCTCTGAGCTCCCAAGTAATAGAGAGCTACTGGTGCAATATTAGAAATGATATTAAACTTATCGGGTCAATAATAGAGATCATTTGGGAGTGATAATGCCGCGTGGATGTGGAGGATGGTGGGGTTTCTTTCCCCTGAGGGTGCAGAAGTTGTGGAGAAAGAAGGTTTGTCAGCTCAATCCATTAGTGTACGTTTGTACTATTCTGAAACTTGCTTCGACTAGTTCATAATCTCGAGTCTGATTTTACTTTAGTCCCTTGCAAGGGACTTTTAATTGATGTTGATCTGTTACAATAGATAGGTAAAGAGTTCTTGCCGCCTGGAAATGTTGTACTCCCATTTTTCATATCCCCAGTTGTCCGGGGTGAGCCTCATGAATGAAGTTTTATTTATTCTTCCTCAAAAATAAAAATATTGCTGAAAGATTTAATGGTACAATTCCAATTTTAATCCGTGAAATACAAACAGACCTAGATTCCATTATAATCCTCTGCTACACACTCATCGAAAAAGAAAGAAAATAAAAAGGTTCTTGGAGATTTTAACATCTCGGTTATTCCATAACCGCCTGACCAAGGCACCAACAAGATTGGGTAATAAGTGAAAAAATTATTCTCCCTTCAACATGTAGTCCATGAGAAAACAGCTCAAGCAACGGATGCCATGTGACGAACCAAGTCGATAACACGGTTACTGCAAACGGAGGATAATATTATTATTGCAGTTGAAATTTTTTTTAAAAAAAATAGGGCTAGAAAACTTATTTTACACGAAATGTAAAAATTCTTACCTGTAACCCCATTCATTGTCGTACCAAGAGACAACCTTCACAAAGTTTCCATTTAGAGCAATTCCTGCCTTGGCATCGAAAATGCTTGACCTGGCAAAATGCACGAATAAGATCAATTTTTAGAGTAACTCTTACGTTCGAGTCAAACAATAACTTATATATTTTTAATTTCAGGAATAAAGAAGTTAATTATTTCAAACTTATTCAATTATAAATAGACTTGCTTATAAGTGAACCTTTTAAGCAAAACATGTTTTAAGCCAACTATATACGGAAAAAAAGCATAAATCATTTAAAACTTTCCTCACCTGCTATCGCCTACAAAGTCGGTTGATACGACATCATCTTCAGTGTAACCAAGGATCCCTTTTAATTTACCCTCAGACTCAGCTCTGCAGAACCGTAAACAAGAAGTGAGAAATGAAGATTTAAGACAGCAACGACTGGAAAAAGGAAGTTTTATTTTTGTGCTATACAGCCAACAAACCATAAGATTGAGTTATGAGAAACTTATCCTTACTTAATAGCAGCTTTAATTTCATCATATGATGCTGCCTTGTCAATCCTCGCAGTGAGATCAACAACTGAGACGTCAACAGTTGGAACACGGAAAGCCATTCCAGTAAGCTTTCCGTTCAGAGAGGGAAGTACTTTCCCAACAGCCTATAAAATCACATATATATGTATCAACTCATATTGAGATATCTGTTTCATTCTACCAAGTCAATGCACATATGACAATGACAGAGGTTCATATCCGACTCTATAAAGAACATCTACATCATTATAAAAATACATTACACTCGCACATATATTGCATACATTTACTCTTGCTTGCACAAGTGACAAAGTATACCTTTATTAGTTGTACATTTTTGTTTATATAAAAAATTATAGCATAAAATACATACCTTAGCAGCTCCGGTACTACTAGGAATGATGTTGAATGAAGCAGCTCTACCTCCTCTCCAGTCCTTCATTGATGGACCATCAACAGTCTTCTGAGTTGCTGAATGACATCAACTAACATCAACCTCTGTTTACACTCATGTAAAGAGAAAAAGCGATAATCAAGGAAAAAGGTGCACTTACCAGTAATAGAGTGGACAGTTGTCATGAGACCCTCAACAATACCGAACTTGTCATTAAGAACCTGCCACATACAAGCATTAGATCTATGTTGAGTCATTCCCGCACAGTAAAAAATAATATCATTCACAGTGCGCAGAACAACTAATTAGAGAACAAACCTTTGCCAAAGGAGCAAGACAATTGGTTGTGCAACTAGCATTAGAAACAATGTTAATGTCCGGCTTGTAATCCTTCTCATTAACACCAACAACAAACATGGGAGCGTCCTTGCTTGGGGCGGAAATAACTACTTTCTTTGCACCTCCCTGCAAATCAGAGGATAGAATCATGATGTCTATAACAATAATAATAACGTGCTCAGTAGGTGTTCATAAAGAAAAATATGCCAACTTGTCAAATTCATTAACCTATGCTAAAAAGCAAAGAAACTAAATTGCAACCACAGATATGAGATATTGACTTAGCAAAATCAGGATTATAACAATTTCAAGTAGAAAAATACATTAGATGCACACCTTCAAGTGAGCAGCAGCTTTTTCATTGTCAGTGAAAACTCCAGTGGACTCAATAACATAGTCGGCTCCAGCCTCGCCCCAGGGAATCTCCTCTGGGTTCCTATTCATCAACATGAAACATTTAGAGATCATGTTGAACCAATAATAATTAATAACTCCCATTCAATAAAAAATTTTTTTTTTAAAAAAGTAATAACTCCACTAATGATGATAACCGAAGTGTACCTAACACCAAAGACAGTGACTGGCTTGTCACCGAAGAGAATGGTCTTAGAATCCTTAACTTTGAGCTCATGCTTTTTCCATTGTCCATGAACGCTGTCGTATTTGAACATGTATGTCTGCACAATAGAATATACGAGTCAAATTTAAATTGAATTCTCAGACATTAATGGCCAGCAAGAGAAGGAATTTTATAATAGAAGCAGAGGAACTTCATCGTAGGTATCTCTCAGAAAAGTAGAAATCCTCATTCTCACTTCACAGAGTAAGAAATGCAACAGTCATACTGGTATGTTTTAATGCGTGCAGTATAAAGAAAAGTCGGTAGAGATAAATTTTGTGCATCTGACCTATGGTATTATTAATTTTGCGAAAATCCATGGCGTCAAATAAATGGGAACAGAAAATTCTACAAAGTAATTCCAAATTTCTGGGCACAATGTAGATTTTATACATAGATACAATACCTCTTGTTGAAGACAAGATTTAAATAAATAAATGTGTCATTACTTTAACAAGTTAAGTTTTTTGATGAAATAGTTCGATTAAGTATACAGCCCAGCAAAAGACATTGGATCAAGACTTTAAGTCTTGCGATGGCTCTTTTATGAAAAATTTTGCACGTGTCAGCCATTTGATCAAAAAATGAATTGGTATGCACATGATGGATTGTTTTGAAGACAAATGAATAAATGTGGCTTGTCTTTAATAGCTTAAGTTTACATATTACAATCTTTATGAGACATTTCAAAGCAATTTTACTATCAAATAAAATGAGATTATATATGCAATGGAGTCAAGCACAATATTATGAGGAAAAAATTTAGATTAAAAACACCACAAGTGCAATCCGGATGTATTTATGACTAAGCATAATGCACTAGAGATCGCTTGACTACCAAAATCAGTTCTACTGAAAAAAAGCTACTAGTCTCATATATCCATCTACACTTTTAAATCAACATGCAACATACACATCCTACAATGAAAACCTAGGTTGCATGGAAACTTCTAAAATGCTAGTATCCATTGAGGACACATTTCGGAACTCTGAACTCAAAAATAGTTTATAATGAAATTTGAAAACTTTCGTGAAACTTTTTGACCAAAATACTCATAAACATCAATTAGAAATTTATTTCGTTATGAGTTTTGTTAGAGACTTCGACTAAGAATTAATTTAATTGTGGGATTCAACTAAAAACTGTCCTAGGCCCTGTTTGATAGCAATTATTTGGCAAAAATAATGTTTTGAATAGTGAATTTTTGGAGAATATGTAGTTAAAAAATAGGAAAAGTTTTAGATTGAAGTGCAGAATATTTTCCTGTGAGGACGTATGATTTAAAATATGTAAAAAAAGGAGTTTTGAAATAAAGCCTATCAAACAGAAGCTTAATAGTAGGCATTAAATGAACTATTCTATGATTTAATTTCACCTTTCATTTCACCTATCATTTACAGCCACCTGGACTGTGTTTTCATCCTCAGGATGAATAACATTACTCATTAAACAATCTGAAACAACATAAAAAGAGGAAAGAGAACACGAGAATTACCATGTATTCAGCGGTAATAAACGGATCGTTCACAGCAACGAGTTCAACATCATCACTGTGCAATGCTACTCTCGCCACTAATCGCCCAATTCTTCCAAACCCTATACAAGCACACAACAAATCAAGCATTGAAATATTAGAAATTTTCATTATTATCCGTCTATAATCAAATGAAACTAAAACGCAATTGAACAAATACCGTTGATTCCTATCTTAATTTTTCCCATGATGAATGTGAGATGACCTCGCTGGTATCAGTACAAAGCAACTATAGTGTAAATTTGTAATGGGCAGTGGGTCTCTGTGTCTATATATAAATGTGTGTATGTACACGAGTGCGAGCTATGCGATCTAAAATGGTGGGGAGGAATTGTCGAGGCTCAAATGGAGGGACGCCATTGCTTGCAGGATGTTAAGGAGCGGTTCAATGGGGAGTAAGACCACGACACGATCATGCATCACCCGCATTAGATGAAAACATAGAGCTTGTTTGCCTTTCAATTTTGGACATAATCTCTTTTTTGTTGAAAATTTACTCATAAATACTACACACTTACTTACAATTTATTTCTATTAAATTATTATTTCAATGAAAATTATTTAGGCTAGAGTTGGACATTATCCGATATGCTTCGATTCTAAAAAGAACCGAATCGAACCTGAATTTCAGGTATTTAGTAAGTATAATCATCGGATTCAAATTTAATTATAGAATCGAAAAATTATTTGGGCTATGGCTGGACATGTTCATATTTGCTTCGATTCTAAAGAAATTGAATCGAACGTGAATTTTCGGGTATTTAACAAGTGAAATTGTCATATCCAAATTTAATTATAAAACAGGTTCGGTTTCGTTCCGTTCAGTTCCATTCAATTCCCAAGTTCCATACCATAATTAATCTTTTAAATATTTACAACAATACTATATTAATTCAACAAATGACATGTTCAATTTTAGCTCTTACAAAATAATATAGTTCAATTTAAAATTATACAAATAACAATTGATCTAATAAGATTTATTAATCAGTGCATGCAAATTACCAAAAAGTAAATAATAATGCTAAAACATTAGTGATTTCATCTCATTGATTCCTTTGCTTCAAGCTTACGTAAAAAATGAAATATAAATTAGAAATTACATGAATAAAATCTATAATATATTAAATATCATATTAAGCTAGAATCACTTTTTGAACGATTCTATCCCTACTATAATCAAATATTTCAATAATACCTTATTTTTCGTTTTTCAATATGTTTTTAATTTATTTAACAATTTACTTATCATCAATGTATATGTCAATTTGACAGATTCATTTCACCCGTGTACTTTCATTAATGTATGTATTTCCTATTATTAATTTTCAATTAATTAGTATTCACATTCATTTAATTAATATTCATCTTCATTTATGCATTTCAGTTTTATTAATTCTTATTATAAGTTAATTAAGATTTTATATTGAAGAATGCATTTCATTATTCACGTCCATGTATGCTAATTAAATATTTAATTTTACTTAATTAAAAATTAAATAAATGATTTAATATACATTGTGATGTATATATTCTCTCGTATTAATTCTAAATTAATTAACATTCAAGCATTGTCATATGCTTTTACAGTACTTATAAAACATTTCATAATAACGTGCAATGCACGTTCAACGTTGACTAGTATTTTTAAATATTCTTAGTACTTACCAACCATTTAAATTAACCATAATTTGATTGACTTGTCACATTAATAAACTTTATAAGAAAGAAATGAAAAAGGCACAATTAATACACATAAATAAACAAAATCTTGATTTATTGATCTTCCACCAATTTAAAATGTCAAAATCTCCATCACTAGCATCTTCAATTTGATTAAGTTAGGCTAGGACTGAAAATTAGAAATAGGAAAATGATGTTTTCGGGTTCAATTAATTAGTTGGCAAATTTATTTAGGGAAAAAAATAATATGACTTATTTAATATAAAAAAAATTAAGAAAATTCGGTTTTTGTTTGGTTATTTGATTCTTGGTCTACAATAGAGAATCGACAATCGAATCAACCTGTCGATTCTAGATTCAGATACTCATTCAAGTATTTAACTTAAGAAGAACCGCTCGATTCAGTTCGGTTAGGGTTAGGGTTCGATTTGGTTCGGTTCAAGAGTTTTGTTCAACCCTAATTTGGGTATAAGCCAGAAAATGGTAAATAGTCAAAAGGCAAAGGTTCAAACACTAAGAGGTTGTTCTCTTTGTGTTTTAATTTTGAGTTTTGAATTCATTTTTTATTTTGTGTTTTAAGTGTCTGAATTTGAAATTGTTGAAAAACTATTTCTCAAAATATAAAAATGAAAAACGAGTTTACTTTGAAATTTTGAGAGTATTTTTTTTATAATACATTATTCAATAAATATGATTATTCAATAAATTTTAATAGTTTAATGTTAATATAGTATTAAATAACATATATGAAGTTGGTGAATCTTAATATTTTTTTTTCAAATATAAAAACTCAACCTAAATTAAATTAGGCAAAAAGTTCAATCAATAAGATTAGAAGTATACGTGCGATAACAAAACAAGCACATACTAAACAAAATATAAAATAAATCCATAGAGTCATGTACAACGTCTAGAGTAGTTATTCCACATGTGTGTGACAATTTGATCTCGAACTTGTTCCATTTGAACTGTTTGACTAGCATTAAAATGTATTACGCCTAGAGTAGTCATGCCAGTTGTTCCATTTTCAATTAGTTTTTTTTTTCGATCAGATTAGTCCCAATCTTTAAAGGCAACCGTAGGTCAGTAGGGGTAGACTTTTTAATCATTGAATGTTCTAATCCGGTTCCCAAAAAAAGGAAATTAAGAACTAGAATAGATAATCAATCAGTTCCCAAATAGTTTTTGGTTCTGAAAATAGAACTATGAATAGTCGCCCCTGGATTTGAAATTTTCATTTTTATAAGTTTTCTATTTTTTTTTTTTACAATTTATTCACCTTGATCGGGATGGAAAAAGTCGATAATGTTGATTGTTATGCTTTTTTTCAAATGAATAAACTTGTGTTATTTTTATATTGCAAAATATAGTAATTTGTTATTATTGTTTTCTAGTATTTCATTTGTTCTTTGAGTACGTAATTTGGTGCTTATGCTAAATATTGAATGTTATTTGGTACCATATTTTGTTATATACTAGATGTTATTTGGTACCATATTTGTAGTGGAATAAAAAAGTATTGAAATGTATATTTTATAGCATATTTATTTCTTCTATTTCTGCTAAATATTGCAAAGATAATTTGTATTATCAACTCGCGGTTTTAAAAAAAAAATGTCATAGGAAGAATGAACTTGAATCGACTATTCGGGTTCGATTTCAACAGTTAAATGGATACAAATGGTTCCACCTATGAATTGTCTGAAGTATAATGAGTAGTTCTGTGTAATGAAGTACTTGATAGGTTAAAATTTTAATTTGAAAACTGAAATTGATGAGTCTCTTTTTCAATCTGAGTATTTATGTATTGAAATTTGAGTATTGCAAAAGCAGAAGGACCAATTTAGGTTTCATTTCTTGTTTTGTTTCCCGACGCTTCTCTATGTTTTACAGAGACTGCCGCTGGGGACACATTTGAGCAAGTCATGGCAGATGCTGTTTTAATGTCAACTTCAACTCATTCTACTATTCAAGTTGTTTGTCTTTTTGTATCTAGCATTAACCATTCCACGGATCAGCACAATATAATTACGGCATGTTTGAGCCCATTTTTTGTGTAGGGTGTATTTTGAAATAGTAGATTGATGAAGAATGTCTGCTTAAAAATAAGCACAATGTTTGAGTCCTATTGTTTTGTTGAGAATGTATTTTCGAATAATAGATTGACGGAGAATGTATAGTTAAAAAAAAATAATAAAAAATTAGAATTTACGTGTAATGTTATTGTATTGAAGAATATGTTGATGAAAAGAAGAGGGGGGAAAATGTATTTTGAACAAATGTGGATCAAACAAGGATAAGGAAAAGTTTTGGTTTGCATATCATATTATTTTATTGAAAAATGTGTGATTAAAAAAAAGAGTAAAATGTATTTTTAAAAAATGAGGATCAAACAAGAGCTTAATTGGCTGAGATTTTCTTATCAAAAAGTTTCCTGCCATAAACACTCACTATATAGCTTGATTGTATTATAGTGGGACATCTAGCCTATGTTTGGCTTCCATTTTTTCAAAAAGTTATTTTTTAAAAACTCATTTTTAACTGCACATTCTCCTATAAAATAATATTTCACGTAAATCGAAAAAAATTCTTTACTATTTAACCATACAATCTCCAATAAACACTATTTAAAAATACATTTTTTGCCCAAAAATGGGGCTCAAAGAAGGGCAAATTATGATTCTGAAATTTTTATTGCTCCTCTCCTCCCCCTCCAAAAAGCAAGTAAAAATAACGTGACACTAACACAAATGATGTAAATTATATTGAGAAATTTGTTGCGTAAAAATATACTGAAATAATTGATTTTTTTTCTTAAAAAATACGATTTAGACGCCTCTTTCTAAAGTTTATGTTTGACTATTTTTTATGCCCGTTTGGACCATTCAATATATCTATAATGTAGATCTCAAAATGAGCCTCTAGATGACGTAGGAAATTTATGGATTCGGTTAGCGTACAATCGTCGAAGAATTTTTAAAGTTAGTCTATTATCGAAATTCTCGAAAAACTAATTTCAAACAGCCTACTTTAACGCGTCATAATATTTTCTAATATTGGCCGTTTTTGGGTTCATAACGATGTGGAAAATTAGGTCGTGAGAACTTCGAAATAATATTAAGAATACAATATTTTGATTTAATTTGATTTGATGTCTAATTAAAAAGTAGGAATTTATTTTAATCCAAAAAGATGGTTAATGATATCATGCATGCATGAGGCTAGACCTTGTAAATTTGTAAAACACTAGTGAGACGCGTGTGCAATGCACATGTTATAATGTAGTTGACTATATAATAGTATAGATATGTATAGCAAAAAAAAAATAGATTATGAATCATAAGAGGCTTTAATAACAAAATATTTATAGACCAATGTACAGTAGGTTGATAATACATACTGTTTAGGAAACAAAGCTATTAACCGTGATTGTTTTATAGTCTAAGACATGCCACTATTAATTACTCTGATTGTCTAATAGAATCAAGGCAAAGAGAGATGTAGA